GCAAACATGGCGCCTCTGTCACCATCAGCCCGGGAACTGGATGATTCCTGAGAAGAATGCTGAGGGGGGGAGGTGACCCGGGTGGTAACTGAGGGGGCGGCGACACCAAGAATTGGAAGGTGAATCGCAATAAATTAGCCTGTACCGGAACCCTAAGTAGAGGAGAATTGGCAGGTAATAATTTAGCAGAAATTACCTGTCTAAACGTGAGTTCCATTCCAAGAAGGTAATTAGAATTTTTAGCAGCTGCCAGCTGCATGTTTAGCTCTGATGACATATGGCGGCCATCTGTCACAGCGCCTGGGCCTAGTACACGCTCAACTAATGGGCGTGGTATTCACAAGAAATGTGCAGGTTTCTTACACAGGATGGTTTCCTTTGGGGAGCTGGAATTCCTCTCCTCTCCACCGCGGTGGTGCCAGGTGGTTAGCCAGGCTCAACAGCCCTTCGAGGGACCCCTGCCGTCCTGGCGCAGAAGTGAGCCGAGCTCTGCAATGAGGGGCAGGCCCTGGGCAGGAGAGCGGGGTTCACGGCCAGCGACACACACCCCACACTCACAGCCTGTCACGTGGCATTCTTAACAGAGAACAGAAAACCAGCGAATAGAAGCTGGGATTCTTGCTTTTGAAATGGTAACGATAACATAATAATGATGATACATTATTTTATCAATTAATTACTAACGTCCCCTATACTGTGCATCATGTGCTGGATAGCTCTTAAACACGTGGCGGGATGATCCAGTGTATTCTGCCTAATAACCCTGTGAACGGTGCGCAATTCTTCTTCCCCGTTCCATTATTCATAAAATCCGTGCTTATAAGGATGAAGTAAAGCACAGCCGATAAATGTGAGAGCTGCATTCTGCTCATGTGCATAAATCATACCACATTATGATAGTTTTATAATAATGATTATTGTTGTTATTTACACAGAATGGCCTAACTTGGAAAAGTTAACAAGCATTTAAAACTACAGCTCCTACCAGCGCCGTCTCCTCCCCACCGCGACTCCGGCTCTCCCGCCCACTGCCCACTCGGGGCGGCTGCAGAGGAGAGATGGGTGTGAAGCCAGGAGGTTCATTTCATGCTTCAGAAGAAGTTCTGGGATAAAATGGGAACTTTTCGTTAAAATGCATATGTATTTTTATGTAATCCGTGTCTTACATTTGTTCTCTCTGGCTATATCTCACACCACCAGTGATAATCAAGGGGATCGTGGCGTTCATATTTAGCAATTACATAACAAACCTGGAAAATCTCAGCATTTAATTAGCAACTGTGAAATCTTCTAAAACTGCTTGATTTTGCTCCTGTTAGAAATTTAGTTAACATGAAATGAAGCCACAAAATGCAATTGATAAGGCTTTTTTTTTTAAAGATTTATTTATTTATTTATTTATACAAGCACTGGGTACAGTCAGAAGCGCGGGAGGGTGAGAGAATTCACCAGAGCCAGAGCGGGGAGCAGAGCAGGCAGAAGGACCGAAGGACACTGCTGAGGGGAGCAGCGGGCGGCAGGAGAGGTCTGCGCGCCATGTGGGACCCTCCTCCTGTGGCCGGGGAGCAGCCGGGGATGGAACCGGCGCTGCAGAGGCTGCAGGCATCTTCGCAACCCAGCGCTCAACCGCTGCGCCATCAGGGAGGCCCAGGCTTTTTTTTTTTTAATTTAAACATGCAAATCATTAGTTTTGATAGTTTAGTTGTTCTGAGAACCCTGAGGTGTCTAAAGTGTGACATACACCATCCAGAAGGGACTGCCCGTGTCCTGCAATTCAGTCACAGGTGGAAGTAACCCAGCAGGGCCCTGAATCCGACCATTCGGAATGTGTTGGCAGTTCTTAGTTTTTTGGTTGAAAGCAGCAAGAAAAACAACTCCAACAAGTTGAATTCATAAAAGAAAGCACTTCTAACTATAGCATTCCAAGAGGGCTTTTTTCGGCATCGGGAATGGCTTGATCTGGGCGTACGGCATTCCTGTCCTCTGTGTTAGGTTTGGCTTTCCAGGACTCTCTCTCCATTGGTGGGGAATTATCACCTAGGAGAGCCAAGGTCCAGTCCCACTGACAGAAAGGCCCCCAGGGGAAAGACCCTCTTCAGTAGCTCTTGCTAAGCCATCCCAGCATGACCCTGCTGGTCTCCGGTTGGGTGTACTTGGTCTCCGTAACATGGTGGTCCTGGGCCAGGCGAGACTGAAGCGTGTCCTCCGTCCTGGAGCTGCGGTGTGGCCCTCCCACCTCAATGCAGCGTTGGGTTTCGAAGGAAAACAAAATATAGACAAAATCCAAATGTGTCCACCGCAGACCTGGAGTCCAGGGCTCTGAGTCTTACACCGGTCTTCAAAATTGAAAGTTCTTCTGTAGAATCCAACCCTAAATCTTATAACCTTCTCCGTAATTGAAAGGCTCATGGGAGCTTTATCACTTCAAACACAATTGAGATAGGAAAAATGTAGTGTCTGTTCTTTGTTTTTAATGAGAAACTTGCCCTGCTCTGTTCTCCTCTGTCCCTCCCCTCTCGCCATTGCTTCCCTGTCACTCTCGTGCCTGGCCAAGGTATCCTCAGAGCCTCTGTGGCATCGGTGCTATAATTAAAGTGGAGCAGAATTAGAACAGGCTGTGGGTCCTAGTAAGTTGGTTTTCCAAGAAGCAGACCTTGAAAGAATACATTTTTGAAGGTGATTTATTAAAATACTTCTTAGGAAGAACCCAAGGAGAGTGGAGATTTGAGACAGATGAGAGGAGAGCGGAGCGGAGGGGTGTTGGTGCTTACAGCCCCAATGGGACGGCATTGTCCTGGGGAGCCCTGCTCCCCCATCACCTGGAGGAGGAGGCCCCTCGCTGCTCAGCTGTCTTCGGGGAGGGGCGCAGGAGGCAGCGGCTGGTGGGGAGCGGTGACTGCTGAGGGAAAAGCGCTCACCCTGCGCGTTCAGGGTGGTCAGGGAGATGCGGACGCCATTGCTGAGTTTTCTGCTTTTAGGAAAGTCAGAAAAGTTGGAATTTCTGGGCCTTGTTCTTTTGGCCTCCACTTCACTGGTCACTTGAAATGGAGATCCGCTTGTGTAACATCATGAGTAGCAAGGGCGTCGGAGGAGGACCCTGCGCAGCCTGGAGTCTGGGCTGAGCTGTGAGTTAGCCCCTCGGCTCTGAGCAGAGACACAGAGGCATCGATGCAGGCTCAGCCTTCTCAGTTCCAGGGAGAGAGATGAAATAAAGGGCACCCCCTGTGTACACACACCCGCCTGCCACACGCCTTGTGGCTGGTGAACAGCCATGTGCTGTGATGTTGTGACGGTCATTATTAGACGTCAGGCTTCAGGTACTGGTTCCGAGGCTCAGATACTTAGTCATGGTAAGAGCTGGCTTGTCGGCCTAGGCAGGATCCGCGGTGACTGGCCCTGGGGATGCTCGGTGCTCACCCCATGTCCTGCCTGGGTGACGTGGGGGGTGGGGGGCCTCTGCTGTGCATGCGTTTGTCACACGCCCCAAATCACACTGTCATAAAGCAACAAAGGAGCATGAATCCAGACAAGATTCATGACAGCGCAGAGCCAGCTTTTCTCTCCATAAGGAAACTTTCTGAGAACGTTTGGTTCATGCGTTCGTGCTTATTATAGGGAAGCGCTGGGAACTAGGGCAAGGCGTCCGTCCTCCCCCCAGACAGTGGCCTGTGCTCCCCTGTGCACCACGCGCATTTTGAAAAATTGGCTGATGCCACAGACACAGGACTCACCCAGCTCGGTGATGACTTCCTGTGAATCCATTTCCTTCTAGAACTTCACTTTTGCCTGTTTGGTGTCCCATAAAATAAATGTGCAGATAATTGCCTCACGTTAATCGTTGGCAGGAGCACACCGTTTTCTGCAGCGACAAGCCTAATTCGGTAAGTGGCAGGGCTTTTTCAAAGGAAAAAAAGTAAACTCGTCATGATAATTATTTTGTGTTTATCAAAATGAAAGTTATATTTGTAATTATATGCTAATTCTGAGAAAAACAGATGACTCAGACGTTGAGTCGGGGAGGTTTGCCGAGATGTGCGCTGGCAGTGCGTGGCCGTGGCCGCGTGGCTGTGGCCTGGCGCCTGTGTGCACGGAGGCCCGCGGCCATTTGCCAGCAGAAGCTCCCGGCGCTTCCTCTCCGCTTGCGGCCTCTGCTGAGTCACCCCCGCCAGCTCCCGGAGTGCTCCCTGCTTCGTTGCCCACGCAGCTTTTGTTGAAGAAAGCCTGTGCTCCTACAAGGCTTTTCATCTGGCTTTGCAAAATGATTCTCTATTATTATTATTACGTACCTGGAATATATTTAGAGTAGGATATTTAAAGCATCTGAAAATCTCTAAGGGTTTGGAGAATCACTCGACAGCAGGAAGGGGAGATGATACAGAGGGGGGTCAGCTTTGCCAGTACCTCTTCCCGGGGCACGCCCTCCGGTGGTAACCAGCACATCTCGCTACTACATCTGCTGGAGTCAGGCCTCCCTTGCTAGGAGTTTCTAACTTCAACCCTTACTGCTAGATTACACGTTAGCAAATGCATTTTCGCCATTTTAAGAGATACTCCCACCCACCTTATCCTCTGGCGCTGCCCCAGGCCTGCCGCCTGCTCATGAGGTTACCGCAGGGGACTCTTCAGGCGGCCTTGGGACCAGTGGCTCAAGGGAGCGGCACCCTCTCAGCGTCACCTCCCCCCCAGGGCCACTTCCCTCCACCCTCACTTCCTGGGTTCCACTCCCGGCCCCTTAGAAGGGCACTTCCTTGCCCAGGGGTCCCCTTGGCCTGTGAGCAGTGTGGGGGCGGGGCCGTGTGCCTGGCCATGGCCTGTGACCGGTACCTTCCTCGAGTGGGGCAGCTGCCGGCCGAGTGGTGGATGTTTGCGTGCCGGGCGGGCCAGCCGGGGCCGCGGCCTGAGTGCCCATTTCCTTGAGGCTGCACTCAGTACCTGCTTGTCTAATCCTTTTTTCGGGAAGATCCAGGCTCTTTACGTGCTAATGAGGTGTCGCTGTTTAGTCCAGTCCCCGACATTAGCTGGCGGCGGCTGAGTGGAGGCCCGTTGCCGGGGAAGGCGCAGCGCCGCAGGCCCCACGCCGTCCTGGAGATCCCCAGCTTCCAGCCGGAGGACGAGGGCGTCTATGAGTGCGCCGCGGGCAACCTGCGCGGGAGCAACCTCGCCAAGGGCCAGCTCGTTTCCTACGGTGAGCAGATGGGGTTCAGGAGTGTGAGCTATTAGGTGGGCCCCAGCATGCTTAGGAGAGGGCGCGCCGGGCGCAGGGTCTGCGCGTGGCCAGCAGGGACGGGTGTTTGTGCCGCGTGCTTGCCAGTGTCCACTACTGCAGGAGACCCCGCAGTGTCAGATGAAAGCCATCGCCATTGATGACACACAGTGGCGTGGAGCCCGGGATAGTCCCTGTACACAGCACGCTCTGCTCCCATCACAGTTATAATCCTGAGTAGAATTTTCAGACAAAGGGGAAAACGCCAGATGCAGCCTCGCGCTGCCGAGCCATTCCCACGTTTATGTTTCCGAGATTTTGTCAAATCACAGGCAGTAATAGAAAAATGCAGTCATTACTTCATTAAAGTAATACATTCCAGGATCTCTCCTGGACTAGGAGCGATGATGGAAGCATATCTCATCTGGAAGTTGCCTTTATGTTTTCTTTCATCCAGGACAAAACATTCACTTACGTGAAAAAAATTCTTTTTTAAAAAATAGCAAATAAACCATAATATATGACCCAGTGTTAACAAAATCTTTGGAGCTTTTTCAAATACTCTTAATTTCTTCGCTAAGTTTAATGTAGTGATACTAGTGAAAAGCTATATTAATACATAGTGAAAAATGCTCTTCTGTATGACATGTTTATAATCAATGATAAAGTAACTGGAGAAAAAAACATTATTTTTTGATAACTAGGAAAGAGTAAGGAATTGTAATTACCTCGCAGGAAGGCCAGCGGGGAGTCTTGTGGGGAGCACATATTGAGCTCCATTATATTACTTTCCATTTCCTTCAGAATTTCCAATTTTAACCTGGAATGAAAACTGCTATTTTATATATAGGATCTGATTTCCTACTGGTTATCCCTCTGCATATGTATTTATTTATATGTAATATATTTCTAAATACGTGTATTATTTCCAGTAGCAACTCCTGTTTAAAGGAAAGCTTTTGAAATCTGGCATCCTTTCTAAATAAAATAGTAAGGATGCAAGTGGGAGTTTTTTTTTTTTTTTTACTGGCACCAGATATTAAAAGACTTTGGTTTATTTTTAATAGGATCTCATTTTTTCTGTAAAATAGACAAAAGATATAATCAAAAGATTAGCCAGAAATGGAAGTATCTGTAAAGTGGAAGTTAAAAATAAAGGCATTTCTCCTATAGCAACTGTTAGCTTACGTGGAAGATTTTACAAAGATTAATTCATATAATTCTTATGATAAAAATTAGAAATAATTTTCAGTGATGTTATAGGGAAGAAACGGCAGATGAGCAAAGCAGAATCTCACAGATAATAGTTGTCAGATCCAAAGGAAAAAGTCCCGAACATCCTTCTGAGGAGACTCCCGCCAGGCCTCACACATGGTCCTCACCCAGGTCGCCCGTGAGCCGGGAGCAGCCACTGGCCCAGGGGAGTAATGGGTGATTCGCCAGGAGACCAGCACGCGGCTTCTCGTTTGCCTTTTGGTTTGTCAGTGTGTCGCCGAAGGAGCAGAGAGCGGCCCTGGTCCGTGAGAGCCGACTCATGCTGGAGCATTTCCAGAAAAGAATCTCTCAGTCCCGTTGCATGAGTGTGTTCAGTGGCCGCCCAGAGCCCTCTGTGTGGGGACTCTCCAGGAAAAGCAACTGCCCCACCCGCGCCTGCGCTGGCCCTGGGATGCGAAGCCTGTCCAGGCGGGGAGCGACCTCAGCGTGTTCTCTCTGGAGTCCTGGGATGCCCAGAGCGTGCCTGTGGAGGAGGCAGCTCGGGGTGCGGTTGTCACGTTAACAGCAAGCCAGACAGCTCCCTGTGGAGCCCTTGTGAGAACACACCCTCTCCCGGAGGACTTGCGCCGGCCACGCGTCAGGGCAGCGCGTGACGACCTACGAATCATACAGCACGTGGACGTGAGTGGACTCAGCAGCACGTCTGCAGCGTGTGGGTCCCGCCAGCATAGGTGTGACCCAGCAGTCCTGGCCCGGGCGCAGGAAGCGGGTCTTGTTTCCCGGCGGGTTCCTGGGGTCCTCCAGGGCCCTGCATGGTACTTACGCACGCACAGCCAGGTACCCCGCGGTGACCCTGCACGCCCCGGCGCCTGTGGCCGGCAGTCGTGAAGGACGCTGCCCTTCTTTCCTGCAGGCAGCTATGAGGACTCCCTGGCCATGGCCCATGTCGCTGACCACGTCAGTCCCTGACCCTTGCTCTGACTCTTGACTTCCCCGTGGACTCTGCTTCTCCCGGACACCGAACCTCAGGCCACATTCTCAGGCCCTTTAGGGGCTGCTCGAGAATTCACAGCTTGGTTTCTGTTTGCTATGTCTTCTTGCTCACGTCACCAAACAGATCTAAAACAGCATCTACTATAAAGGGTCAGACGGAGAATTAACCATAATGATACATGTTAAACATTTGCCAGGTAACAGCCTGAGCTTCCGGGGCGAGTCACCCAGCCCTCCATATCCAGGCCCTGCAAAGGGAGGGTCTCTGGGCACCGCCAGGCAGCCTGCCATCATCTCTGTAGGAGAAATGTCGATCTTCACCCATTAAACTTACCCCTGCTTGTGTCCATGAACCATAGTGAGGGCAACACCAACTTCCACCTAAATGACACTTTCACATCAGTTCTGCTGGTTGCCTTTTGCCTTGGTAATATGTAGATCTTTCTCAGACTAGAAGATCAAGTTTTGGAAAACCTGTGCCCAGAATTCAGGCCAGGTGCTGAGCCTTTGTGTGACTCCGAAGTTCTTATTTGGGGGGAGGGGATAGTATTGCTGTACTACTGAAATGAGACGGGCAGACGGGCAACGCATTTTATTTCTGCTCTGAGCCACTAAGCTGCAGCTGTGACTGGTGCCAGGTACACCGGGTTTCAGCTGGTAGTTTATGCCGACTCGGGCAGTAGCCTTGTGCCCGCTGTGGGGTCACCTTTGGTATACGTTTTCTAACTTGACTTTTGTGTTCATGTTTAGCAAGGAATTACTCTGTCCTTGTTCTATATCGACCATTCCCCCCACTCCTGAGTTGTCATGTAGGTACCACCAAATGTCAAGTGACACTAGTCTTAGCCAGAGGCCGCTGACATTTGCAATGGGATTGCTGTCGTCCGACATGGAGGCCCCGGTGTCCCCCCTCACACCCCGTGTGGGCAGGAACGCTCCATGTTGGTTCTGCTGATGCCTGCAGTCCTGGGGAGGCAGCATGATGTCTTGGATGATTGACTTGTCAAATAGTTGCTCTTGTCTCCATTTGAAACAGCCCCTCCAGAATGGGAACAAAAAATCCACAACACATACCTGTCTATCCATGACAGTTTGTTCTGGGAATGCAAAGCCAGTGGGAAGCCCAGGCCTTGGTACACGTGGCTAAAGAACGGGGAACGCCTCAGCCCAGAGGTAAGCAGCTGCGTGGGCGTTACCCATCACCTCTGTGCGCAGGGCATTGTTCCTGAGGGCCCCGGGCGGTGTTCCAGAGCGACCGGTCTGCTCTTTACAGACACTGCTGAATCCTTGAACTCAGAGTAGCCATTACTATTGTCTTTATTTTTGAAATGAGGACACTAAGAGTAGAGAAGACGACTTGAGCAAGTTTGCACACTAGCCAGTGATAGATGCACCTTCAAGTACTATCTCCATGAGCACATCATCTCTCCCCCCGCCCCGTCACCACCACCTCTGCCATTAGCACCACGAGCAGCAGCAGCATCACCATCACCATCGTTGTCATTATCACCGCCATTATTGTCTCCACTGCCATCGCTTACCACCACCGTCATAGCTACTGTCTGTGAAAGGCTCACACGCGCCAAGCCCTGTGGGAAATGTTTCCGGGCATCACCTTGTATGCTCGCTGCCGCCTCATGAGAGTCGCCCGTCCTGTTTCCTTATGGCGATGAAGGAAATGCGCTTCAGAGAGGTTAAGTCACTGCTCAGGATCGCCCATCAGCTAGTCAGTGTTGGAATTAGTGTCTGATTCCAGGACACAGGCTCTTAGTCATTGTTACCCAGTATCTTGTTTTTATGAAAACTGGTGTTTTCTTCTACGCCCGCGGGGGCGGGGCGACGGGGCACTTGTCGTGCTCATCAGTCTCGAGCACGCTTTCTCCTGCAATACATAGAAAGTGAAACAATTGTTTTTCCCATCAAACTATCAGAACAGTCATGCTGATTCTCTGATTCACCTCACACGTGCAGTGCAGCCAGAGAGCACCTGTTGTGGCGTGGCCGCTCCTTGTCCCTCCCGGTAGCGGGGTTCCCTCCTCGCCCACCGCCGGCATGGAGCGAGGTCTGCTTCCCAGCCTGTGGCTACTACTCGAGAGGGTGCAACAGGCAACTTGGCGCGTCCAGTCTGAGTGCTGTGTGCGCTGTTGAATCATTTTGTCTTGTGCACCCCAAATTGTATTTCTATATCCCAAATGGGGCTCTGCCACAGATTTTAGCTGTTTCAGATTCCGGCAGGCTGAGGGGAGGCGTTGGTTCCTTCAGCTACATGACTCGGTTAGGAAATCACCAACTTGCCACGCTGCGAGTGCGCTGAGGGCCTTTGGGTGGAAAGTCGAGGGCGTCTGGTCATCGTCTGACCCTGACCAACATCATGGTCAGCCAGGTTCTCTGCAGTCTCAGGCAGTGGGGTGTCTCAGATGAGGGTACATACCATGTAGCAGAATATTAACCTGCATCCACGCAGAAAGCCAATTTTCAAAAAAAGGAGATAACATAAAGTTATGTCAGCCTATTTCCAGTTTTTAAACTCCAGGGAGCTGCTGTGGGCCTGCTGCTCACCTAACACTGTCTCTGGGACACCCCAGCATGTCAGAGCGCCCCGGTTAGGAGCGTGCCCCCCTGTGTCCGGCTAGATCTTCACACGGCTTCTCTTTTCTTAGGAAAGAATCCAAATAGAAAACGGAACTCTGACCATCACTTCCCTGAACATGTCGGACTCTGGCATCTACCAGTGTGCCGCGGAGAACAGCCACCAGATCATTTATGCGAACGCGGAGCTGCGCGTATTAGGTGAGTCACCCATTTATAACCAACAACTTCAAAATGACATTTTAGCAAGCTATGATTATACATAATCAGGGCTCAATTTTTCTGTAAATTCGAAATTGCTTCCCTTGAAATAATGGGAAAGTGTCTGAGTGAGCTTTATTCAAAATGGAAAGTGATAATGACTCCGCTTAGCCGAGCTTGGGGTCTCTGGAGCAGCCGCCCTGGGGTGCCTTGGAACCCGCAGTGGTCCCTGAAGCTGACCCAGCGTGAGGGTCTGGATTCGGTCAAATATCCATTGGGAATATTTTCACTTGCAAATAAAATAACAGGAAAACACGACCTCTAGGATGTAACAAATGGGTTTCTTGTATCTCTTGGCAACAAGTCCAGGCGTGGTGGCGGGTGGACCTTGCACTGTAAGCCTTTCCCAGCCTGCAGCCCCCAGTTCCAGGGTGGAGCTACAGCCAGACCCACCCTCCAGGCGGGGAGCAGTGGGGGGCGGACCCCTTTCTGTCTGCCTGTCAGGGAGGCCGAGGTTCTAGGGCCCTAACGCTGTTGACGGGCCCCGACATGGCCACCCAGGCCCCAGGTGGAGAACGTGGACACAGAAGGTTTTGAGGGTGATATCTGGGGACGCCCGTAGCGGTGTCTGACACAGTAAATGAGTCGTTGATGTGAGTCCTCCCACGATGCTCTCAGGGGTGGGGCGGAAGGCGGCGAGAGGAAGGGCTGATAGAAAAGAGACAAACTTCCACGGACTTACGCATGGCGGGTGTCACTCGCCTGCTCACTCTCTGGGTCACTGCTCCCGACGCAAGGTCACTGTGGAGTGCGTCCAAGAACACGCCTCTCAGGACCCAGTGACCCTTGCCTTCGCAGAGCCTGTGGTGTCCCTGCGGACAGACCCGCTGTGAGGCATCTGATGGTCACCGCCCAGGCTTGGGCGTCACCCGCCCTCAGAGCCACTGCCTCGTCCTGAGCTGAGGCGATGTCCTCAGGGAGGCTGGGGTGGGAGGAGGCCGGGTGAGGGGAGGCCGGCAGGGCTATGGACGGTCCAGCATCCTGGACTCGGTGGGTGTCCAGCCTCTCGGTACCCACGCGCTGGGGCAGGAGGACTCAGATGCACCTGAGCCGTCCCCCCATTTCCTGCTGTTCTCATCACTCCTGTGGGCGGGAAGGTGAAACCGTGAAAGTAGTTACTCTTCTGCTCGGCCAGCCTGCTTCTGGGGGCGGTGGACAGCTCGGGTGTGGCTTGTTACGGGCCTGCCTGGAGGAGCAGAGCACTGCGTCTCCTGCGTCCGAGTTATCTCGTGCTGTTTCATTGGGTCACGCTCACACGTGCGCACACTCACGCACACGCACTCACACACTCCAGGGCTTTCCTGGGCGGAGTCAGTGCAGCGGTTCCCCTAACCATCGCGCTCCCTGTCTTTGCCCTGAGGACCCGTCCATCCCTTTGCTGGAAAGGCCACGGCGGGCGGATGCCCTGAGCATCTCACCCCGCGTGGCCCGGTCCTGGCAGCAAGGGAGGGCGCAGAGGGTGGCTCTTCCATGCCTGGAATGGCCCTGCTCTGCGGGGCTTGCCCTCTGGTCCCAGGCTGCCCCCTGGCGCGAGTGTCAGCGTCACCACACGGGCAACAGGCCCGGGGGTCAGACTGGCGCCTGGAGGGCCTGGGCAGGGCAACGGTTTCCCATGAGTCCCTTCCTGCTCCAGGTTCCCGCTGCTGGTTAAGGGAGCACTTTGACAACTTTGCTTGTAATTTTGTTTTTAGCTTCAGCTCCTGATTTCTCCAAAAACCCCATTAAAAAAATCTCGGTGGTCCAAGTCGGCGGGGACATTGCCATCGAGTGCAAGCCAGAGGCCTTTCCTCGCGCGACTCTGACCTGGAAAAGAGGAGCAGAGAGCCTGACACCAGGCGGGAGGTAAACGCGTCCCTTTGGCGGTACCGTTGTGAGTGCTCCGCAGCGGGCCGTGCTCCCGACTGGGCGTCCCCAGGAGGGCCTCACGCTGTGTCGCTGCGTCTCCTGGGAGCAGCCGGGACTTGTGACGCGAGTCTGTGTGATCCCAGAGTCCCGGCCCCGCGCAAGTGAAGGCCGTTCCCTGGCCTAGCCGCGGAGGTCGCATGTGGAGGACATCAGGGCGAGGACACCGGGGAGCTCCCGGCCTTGGGAAGGGGTCATGCCGGTGTCCCCAGGACGCAGTGCGCCACATGGCCCAGCAGGGGGAAGCCGTGGAGGTCACTGGGTCTCTGCGTCCCGTCCCTTGGGGTACCTGCCATGGATGCAGTGAGTCCAGGGAGAGGCCGGCCAGCAGCCTGGTCCCAGGAACATGTGCCAGAGCCCAGGGGCGCCCAGCCCCTCCCTGAGGCCCGGTGAAGGCCCAGACCAGGTGAAGAGGAACAGGAGAGGGCGTGCAGTGCCCCTGTGTGTCAGACTGTGAGGGGCTGGGAGGGCTTCTGCCCCCAGGGGGACATCACTGCCCCTGTTCTGCTGAGGGTGGGGCCCTGCACCTCCACACACAGCAGGCCAGCGGGGCCCGGACAAGGCGCTGCCTCCCGTGAGCCTGCCGGGGGCGGCGGCTGCACCAGTCCCAGGCCGGCTGCACCTGCTGAGCAGGGGGAGGAGTTGACCAGCTGTGGACCCTCTCGTGGTTGTCCTGCCCTGGGGAGCTTCTCCTGATCCGAGTAGACCCAGGAAAGCCCCTTCGAGGGAGACCTCCCACCCCCGCACCCGACTCCCCCCACCTCATGTCTTCCAGCCTGCACAGCCTGGCCCAGGTGTGCCCACGATGGGGCCCGGCCCAGGGCCCGGCCCAGTGGTCACAGTGGGATGAACGTGTGTGCCCCAAGGACAGTGTGGCGCAGGCAGGAGAGGCCTCAGAGGCCTCTCCTCCTGCCCACCTGCCGCTCCCTTGGAGCAGGGCCTCGAGCTGCCACGGGCAAGGCGTCCCCGCGCCTCCATCTGGGTGGCACACGGCCTTTCTGGAGCCTCCCCTGGGTGGCCTGAGCAGAAGTGAGCTCGCGGTGGGGTTGAGGGGCGGGGGGGCCGGGGGAGGCTTGAGCTCCTCTCTCTGCTAGAACATGCAGCTGCGCACGGAAGACTCAGAGTAAGATGAGATGTGGAAAGACGGTTCACTTTCTACAGCGAATACAAGGAGGAATGATTTTTAGCTCTTGACCTTGGAAATTCCTCTGTGGGAAAATGTACTTTTTTCGACGGCATTATAAGCCTTGTGTATGGTTCTGTCTGCTCTGAAATGTCATCGTCACTGACTCTTACTCCCAGTAACGGGTAACTGCCCAGAGATGACTGAGAGAGCCCTAGAAAGCCTGTTCCAAGTACTCGCGCTCACTGCCTGCCGGTGAGACACGGGGCCGCAGACGGATTCTGGCAACGCCCCCTGCGCGCCTGCGCCTGAGAGCAGAAGCCCACGGCCGCCGAGTCTGCCCTTCGCACGGCTCTCTCTGCTGGCCCTCGCCCGGCCCTGCTCTGGGAGGGTGGCTCACAAAAATTAACTCAAAATGAACCACATACCTAAATGCCACAAAATTACAGAATCTCCAGAAGGCGGAAGGGAAACCAGATGGCCTGGGGCTGGATACGGCCTCTAGCTGTAGCACCCATCAGGCCCGCAGCAAGGGCATGGAAAACTGGACTTCCTTCAAATTGAAAACTTCTGCTCTATGAAAGACAAAGTTACTGGAATAAATCAAGCCACGGACCGAGAGGAAGTATTTGCAGGAGACACATCTAGCAGAAGACTGCTCGCTGAGATGCACACAGAACTCACAGGACTCACCCATGACAAAACAGGCAACTTCTTCCAAACCGATGGGCCAGAGCCGGGGCAGAGCTTCCCAGAGCAGGTGTGGGCGAGCAGGTGGGCCTGTGAGGACCCGCGGCGTGCTGTGTCAGGGAAGTGCGAGCTTGGACGTGAGTGCCCTGACCCAGAGCGCCAGCAGCCCAGGCCTGGGGAGGCCAGCACAGCACCCCTCGCCCTGGGGGTGGAACCCAGACACGGGGGACACTCGGGGTTCTTGTAAAAGGCAATGTGCTTCTGTGTTTGTCTGGACCTCCCCGCCTGCCTGTTTACCCACGGGACTCCACTTAAAAATGTGCCCAAACCCCCTCACCATAGTTGAGGGAAGCTTCGTTCACAGTTGCCAACACCCGAGGCAACCAAGGGGCCCCTCACCAGGCGAGCAGGCGACCAAACCTGTCCCACCAGAAGGTGGAGTCCTGTTCAGAACTGTGAGGACATGACTGTCGGCCTCACAGCCTCCCAGAGGAGCCCTGAAGCCAGGGCTGACCCCAGCGTGCGGCCCTGGGGAAAGCCGGCCTGCAGCGGTGAGACCAGCAGACGCCGGCCGGGGTGGACAACCGGGAAGCCCGGGGGCTTCGGGGCGGTGGTGACACTGGTGCTGGAGACATCTCATTGCGCGTTTTTCCAGACCCACAGGAAGCTGACAGCAGACATCACTGTGCATGATGGTGTATCCACCGGCTCAGGGCGCTAACACGTCACCTCCGCTGGGACTGGGACGGCAGGAGGCCGTGCATGTGGGGGTGGGGGTGGTAATCGCTGCACTTTTCATTCAGTTTTGCTCTGAACCTAAAAGTACTCTACGTTAAAATGTCTTAAAAAAAACATTTGAGAGCAGGTCAGCATCGTGACTTGGTAGAAAAAGCCCTGACTCGGGACCAGAAGACCAGGCCTGGCTGTCAAGGCCACTCGGCGCCTGCAGACAGCTCACTTTTATGGAAGAATTAGTCACCTGTACTGTTTGGGGGAGAGTGCTGCGGAAAAGGGGACTGGTGGCAGGTGTGCCGTGGACAAGCTGCTCCCCTGCCAGGTCCCACGACACCCCCGAGCAGGGCAGGTGGAGGCAGCAGCCTGCAGCTCACGTCCTACCCTCTGGCCAGGGACTGGCCATGAGCCCAGAGACCCAGGGCTTCCGCCCCCAGGCCCAGGCTGGGCACTGTCTGCAGACTGGGGCTACCTGGGAGCAGGCTCCAGGGGGCGGGCAGGAGCGCCAGCTCTCTGCAGGATCCGGCCGATGCTGGGTTTCCACGGGCGGGCCTGGGAGGCATGTGCGTGCCCCCCCCCCGTGCCCTCACGCCGCTCTCCCAGAGGAGAACGTCTGTGATCCACTAAATGCAGATGGAGCGGAGGAGTCGAGTGCGTCTGATAATGAACTTTCTGGAGTGTTCCGGCTGGTCTGGGGTGGCAGCTCCATCTCTCTCCAGAATATTCCTTTCAGCCTCTTTGTCGTCGTCTCTTTTTGTATTCTTTTTCCCTACTGTGATGTTTTTATATGATCAGATGAGATAGGTTTTCACAAATCTGTTGATTAAATCTTTAAAGGTGCCCTGGCCAGAGGCGGGAGAGATGCCCTGGGCGTGATTGGCATGACAGCCTTTTAAAGTATTGCTATAAAGCAGGGGAAGGAGATTCTTCCCCTGGACTTGAGGGAGCCTGGTATTTACTGCTGTGGAGACCAGGTCGGCCATCCCTGTGGCTTGTTTAAACGAGGACTTGTGAAAAGACAGCTTATTAGATGAGAGTGCGATCAGCAGAGATAGAGGTAGCCAAGTGCTGAAATTATGAAACTGTTCTATCAATGTTTGATTTAAAATGGATTCCAGTGGGACATTTTATCTAAAATCTAAACTGTGAAGAGTCAAAATTTATACGCATTTTTCCACTTCTTATCTCATTCATTTCAATCCAATCTATTTTACATTTTTGAGATATTAGAAAAATTAGATAGTCAATTAAAATTTCATGGTCTACAGTATTATCTTTAGACAGAACTGGAAGCAATATTCCAGTTAATAATATCGCTATAAAAATAGCAGTATTGCTCTAGTTTCAGAAATAAGAAATTGTAATTACCCAATGTCCTAATTTCTCTTAGTTCAAAAATTGCGCTGCCGCTGGTCTTCTGTGTCCTCAAACTTGATGAGGGGCGACTGTCAACGCCAAACACGGGGTCAGCGCTTCCCGTGCACTTAGGTCACGTGGAAACCTGTGTTTTAGATGTGGGTAAACGAAAGACTGGACACATGGCCACTTAGCCTCGGAGTTGAGCCGGCGTCTGTGTTGCTGTGCGTGAAGCGTCCGTGACCAGCTCTCTCGTGGGCCCACAGAAGCGCGGCCGTGACAGTCCCGCCCGCACTGGCCTCCCGACACGTCCCCAGCTGCTGTGTCCTCAGGAGCGCCTCAAGCAGAGGCCGAGGGCCGGATGAAGGCCAGTGGGCGGCTCTGCTGCTTTCTTCCTGTCACCCCCAGTGGTGCGAGGGCGGGAAGGTCCGATGACCACGCCCCTGTGGCCTCCTCCCCCGTGTCAGCCGGCCTTGGCGTCGTGGGTGCTGGTGGCTCTGTCTCCGCGAGGTTCCTCGCGCCTCTGACGTCAGCCCATGTCAGTTTGTACCTGTCCGTGCCCGGGTGCGGTCAGGGAACTGTGCCACCTCACCAGGCGCTGTCAGCGCCGCCGCTGCCCATGGTCACGACGCACCGCCACGTGGAAATGACTTTCGTGCTAATTTTTCACGGCACATCTTAAATGCAAATGCCCTCATTTGTGATTTAATCATCTGAACAGAATAGTAAGCTTTGGTAATTTGGGGGGAATTTTCCATTTGATCCGTGTGAACAATTGAGATACTCTGGTTAAGTGAGTGTTTGAGAATGGACGCCCAAGTAGGGCGTCATCGGTGAGCTGAGACCGACGACGCGGGCGCCCCTGGCCTGGCCACTCCACCTGCAGGACAGCCCGCAGGGCCTCCTGAGCCCAGGCGGACACCGGGTTGGCCTCCAGGCGTGGGTAAGAACCAGAGCAAGAGTCCCGACTGCTGGGCTGAGTTGGGAGAAGAGCAAAGGCCAACCGCTCGCATCAGCGGGGAGCGAGAGTGAGATTAATAGCCGGCACGTCAGTCCTTCCGTCCCACCACGACCTTCTCTCCAGTTGCCGCATAAAACTGGGAGGTTGTGTGTGGCCAAGTCCCAGGCTGGAGGCAGCGCGGGGGCCACACGGAAGTCTGGCTCTGAAGCGTGGAGCCTGGCGCTGGGTGCTGACTTCAGGCTCCTTCCAGAAAGCCTGGCACAGCCTCTCAGGCCCTTTGTTCAAACTGAACGAAACACCCCCCCCACCCCCTGGGGCCTGTGCCGGTGAAGCTGGCAGGGCGAGAGGCTGGTTCCTTAGCGCCTCCTGACTGCTGACCAGGAATCCCACGCCGAGCTAAGCAGCCCAAGCCCTCTGTGCAGCCTGCCCGGTGTGACGAGGCTCTCCCTGACTCCCCAGGGGAAGATGAGAAGGCCTGGGCCTGGGTCACTTGGCCCCACAGACAGGTGGTAACTCTTGGGGCTCAGAGTCCCTCACAGGCACTTAACCCCCACATTCTACCTGCTACTCTGTTAATAACACCCAGTGGCACAGGGTGGAGAAGGCAAGGACCCTGGCATCAGCATCGCCACTGTTTGACCTCATATGTTAAAAAATTTATGGGTAAAATTCTCCCATAGCAGGGATACCAAAGTCGCCTTTAAGGTCTCACAGAAGCTTCCAACTGAGGAAACGCACTGCGTGCACACGTCATAGCTTGTGTTTCAGGGAGTTAGGGGCTCCCTGAAGTCAGATCAAGACCCTCCAACATTAAAGGTCATTATATGCAAATGAAAGTATGTCTGTGTCGGCCTGTCAGTCAGTCGGTACAGCCACCCGCCTCTCTGTCCGCCTGTTCATGCGTCCATCCCCCTCTGGCCCTGCTCAGGTTCATGCTCTGAGTAATCATATTAACGGCACTTTCAAAACTTGCAGAGAAGCAGGAGGACATGAATAGAACCGGGCCCTGACCCTCTCGAGGCACGGGGTGAGTTATGTTTGTCCCTGTGCCTCTGTTTCCTGGTGTGTAAGCTGGGGCTGATGGTAACGGTGAACCCCACGGTCTGACTCAGTGACTTTCAGTTTCACGGAGGTTATTTAGGAGCGGCCCGTGTGGAGAGACCGCAGCCCCATTGCATCATGTCCGAGGCTCCCGTGGGGAGTCTGGCACGGGACAGCGCCTCTGGCGTCAGCGTCCCCCTCCTATGTTCCCACTGTGCTCGAAGGCACGGGCACTGAGGAGATATTTCCTGGGTACACTTCTGAAAGGTTTCATCATCGCCGCACTCCCAGCTGCGCACTGAAGTTGCTGTTGAGTTTGTGGGGGCCCCACCACACCCCAACATGCATGCACTCTGCGGGCCACACTTCTGAGAGCCCTGGCCCTCGCGGTGCACTGCCAGCCGAGTCCTGGCGTAAACACGTGCAGTGTTTACGCGACCGTCCTCTGCTCTCCTCCCCAGAACGCTGCTCTCTCTGCGGGTCATTCAAGCACTTTTATCACTGGAATGTGCCCTGTTTTTCAGAGAGCCAAGTTTATCGACATTTCTGGTCGTGTTTTGTATTTAAATGCCAGAAAAGCTTATTTGCTAAAAGGGGAGAGAATATTTGAATGTTTTTTATTAATATATCTTTTCCTCAGATTCCATTTCAAAGTGTGCTCTAAAATACCCCCAAAAAAGAATAGAAAAACCCAGTCTGGTGTTCCGATTTTGGCCGGGATGTTCCAGATCAGCTTCATGTGCAGCTTCCTCCACAGGACTTGCCCGTCGCACAGGGAGGAAGAAGAAAACACTTGTAAAAATAATTTCTGTTGAGCCATGTTCTGATATGTGCAAACTGGAAAGTCACACTTTTCTTTTTTGTTGTTTAATTATTCGCCATAAAATTAGCACTGCGGTAAGTGATTTGACTCCATCTACATTGTCTCAAGAAGGAGGGTTTTCTTTTTTTGCTATATTTTAACATCTCTCAGTAATAAAAAAAGAAAGTTGAAATATTCATACTATTTATCATGTCCGAAAATCTTATTAGAGTTCGATGTCTGCCTGGCTCCAGCCTAGGTTGCCAGGGAGAATGGTCTTGTTAATCATCTCTTTTTCATACGTGATAAATCAATTTGGTGATTTTCATTAAAATTTAAATATAACATTTTTATTCTTGTAGATTTTTTGCATATCAAGCTTATGAAAACAAGATCAATCCTTATTTAGAAATAAAGGTAATCTTTGCTGATTGAAGCTGATGAGTGGTGATCAGGGCTTGCCCGCGTGGCATCTGGTGCTGAGTCTCCTGGGAATGTTAGGGGACCTTTTATGGGTGATGGGGCGTTCCCCCCACCAGTGCTTGGAGAGGCGCAGCCCCTTGTCTGACCCCCGCAGCCTCCGTCCTGCCTGGAGGGAGGCCACAAAGTCCCCAACGGGCGAGCCCACAGAGGCGCCCTGGCAGCAGCCGCATGTGCGGGTGCGCCCAGAGGGGCGCCCAGGTGGACACGGCCCCGTTTCTGTGCAGCCGCGCTTGGCTCTCATGGGGCGGCTTCTCAGGGCGCTTGGTGAACAGCCGCGTCCCTGGGAGTCAGACAACGGGCAGCGGCGCGCCTGGCCCTGCTGAGTGGGCATGGGGCCGACAGTGTGGGCGCCACCATCGGGGTCAGCGGGGCCACCGCATGCTCCCACCTGCCCGTTCAGTGGGTGCTCGTGGGGGAGCAGCGAGCCCTCCGTGTGGGGTGCGTCTATGGCCGTGGCATGTCTGGAAACACAGGTCAGCGGGCGACTCGCGGCGCTGAGCATTGCTCCCTTGCTTGTGTTTCCTCTGCAGAGTGTCCCTCGGGGCAGACGGCAGCCTCCGGATGCGCAACGTCACCAGGGCGGACGCTGGAGGGTACACGTGTGTGGCCACCAACCAGTTTGGCGTGGCAAGGAGCACAGGGAGCCTGGTGGTGAAAGGTACTCTGCTGTCTTGTCCTGGGGAGCCTGGGTGCGCGTCCGGCCCGGTGTCCACTGAGCCCTTGATCCCCAGCATTAGAATGGCCGCCTGCACCCTTCACGTCTGAGTTGCCACAGATGCCGCCGGGTGGGACACAGTCACTTCTGGATACTGTTTTGGGCTGGTCTTCTCTCAGAGGCCCTCGTTGTATCTGAGAAGTGACTGACCATTCGGCCACACAGCTCCAGGAGTGCCGCTGGTGCAGCCCAGGCCCCGGCACACGCTTCTGGTAGCATCCTGGCAGAGGAGGCGTGAAAGCCCCTGGTCCCCGGGGGGTTGGCACCTACCCCTTCGCAGCAGACGCAGCCACGCCTGGGCAGGAAGCCACGGTCCTGGCCTCCGCTGTAAAGCACAGCCGCTCCCCTGCGCCCCCTGGGGCCCCAGACTTGGCGCCGAGTCTCCCCCGTCCTGGCCACTTTGCAGTGCTGAACCTCAGCTTTGACACATGCATGTTTATGGGAGCTGTCAGCTTTCTGCCTCTCGTTGCCTCCTGCATGATAAAAACGACCGTCTTCATAAAGTAGTTTGAACAGCTAATTAAGCCCAAATGATTAAATTCAGCAATTGGTGCTTTATCATCATTTCCATTAAAATAAATACATTCTATAAAAAGCAGTTTGCTGCTGTGCTTCAGTGGTCCTTTACGATGTCTCAGGGACAACAGTCACCCCTTTCCCCCTGAAAGCGATTCCACCCGCCTTGTCCCGGGCACATTACATGAGGCAGGCAGTTGTTCGACGAGCTCCAGGGGAATGTGAGCAACAAGCCTGGCCGGAATCCCCCCGTGTGGCCCATTCGAAAGCCCTCATTCCTGTGGGATGGTGTCGCCATCGGGCGTGCAGAGAGACGGGCCTGGCGTCCAGGGGCGTGCTGCAGCTATGCTCAGTGAGGGGGGTTCTGCAGCGGAATTTGGGTGACCCCCCTGTACTGAGAAGCGTGACTGCTTTATGTTTGGAGAAATAACTCGCCCATTACGGAGGGAGAAGGTGAGGTTGGTGACCTCATTCCCAAAGAAGGAGCCGGCTGTGTGTGTTCATGTTATTCCAGCAGAAGACGGGACTGGGTGGCGGAGAAGTGGCGGCGCGGGCGTCTCCCAAGGGTGGAGAAAGCCAGGTGGACCTGAAATACGGAACGGAGGGGGTGCGGCTAGTAGTAGGAAAGACAGTCCGCGGGAGGCCACTGGCCGGTGCCCGGGGCTGTGGCTTTGTTGCTAAAGTGCACCGTGGAGGCGGCGCGGGCCCGAGACTAAGAAAAGGGTGTTTCCAGACAGACTGAGCTGCGCGGGTTTTCCTTCTCAGATGTTTCTTAGGCCTTTGGCTTTGTGGTCTGCGCAGTAAAGACTCAGAGACGGCTCCCATGGATGCTGACCGGAAATCCCAGCTGGCCCCTCCGCTCTAAAATGGAGATGGTTTTAATTTTTCAGGGTTTAAATTTCTTAGATGGCTCCGCAGTGAAGAGCATCAGGGGAAGCGCGCTCCTCCCACTCCGGTTGTGGCCGTCTCTCCCTACAGACGCAGCCGGGGCACAGATGGAAGCCGGGGACATGCAGGCGGCGCCGTGGCAGGGCCAGCCCAGGGAGGCTCCTGGTGCCAGGGTCAGCCCCGCAGTGCCCAGCCATCGCCACTCACACCCTGACGGCACCCCGGCTGCTTGTCTTTGCCTTCCTGGCCTGACCTCACCCCATTTTCAGGGGACTCTGAGGTCTTGTGCTTCCTTGTCGCTGGCAGGAGCCAGGGTGAGCGGCGTGAGTGGGAGCACCGTGCGTGACGGCAGAGAAGTGCTAACCCAGGAGTGCGATCGCACAGACGCAAAGTGGCCTGTGCAGCACGGGTGGGAGGTTGCTTTGCCCTGCGTCTGCTGCACCTGCATCCCCGAGGGTCTCTCTCAGCACATTGCTGTGTGAATGAGGGTCTGACGTCCCTCGACCTCCTCCCTGGACCGCTGCCTCCATTTCCTTTCACGCCCCATGTCGAGGACAGCACCCCCAGAGTTACTTTACAGCCTACAAACTCGAAGCTTCACTCTCTGAGGAATAATTACTATATTGTGCATTGAATCAACCATTTTCTCAACTGTTGAGAGCACAGCCCTGTGGTTGGCTGTAGAGCGGGTGTGTGTGTGTGTGTGTGTGTGTGTGTGTGTGTGTGTGTGTCCGCATCTCTATTTATCTGATTGTCATCATGGAGTCAAACATAATTTTACCTCTCAAGCCAGAATCAGCATATAGTGACCTTCCTGGTAATAGGGTGGTAAGGAGCAAATGAGAAATTTCGGTAAAGCTGATAAAACAATCATCTCTCTTTGAATTTACTTATCAGCCTCAGTCATGCAAGAAATGCTGTTGTTAGATAACATGTAAAAAGATAATAGTTACAAGAGTAAGATGTTTCCAGCTTAGGTTTTAGCCGATACGGCTTATCTGTGCTAAGAGGATTCAGCAGTTATCTGCACGGTATGTCGGGAATTTCTGTTTCACTAATGCAGCAGGAAAGGCAGTTTCCCATCGAGAAGCATGGAGAGTGCAATTAGCGCCTGCTTTGCCGAGGCTGGGAGAGGCTGGCGACACCCTGGATGGGCCATGCTCAGGGGGGCCGGGGGGCCGGGGTTGTGTTCCCAGGGTTCGGGGAGGCGGCAGCGAGTGGACGAGCCAGGAGGTGGGTGGAGGTCAGGGGAAAGGGGAGTCATTCGATCGGGAGTTTGGAAAATTATTAAAAAGCAGAGGAACAGCAGGCTGTAAAAACGATCTTGCTCGTAGGCAACATTTGTTTGCGTTCCCCTCTAGAGAAGGCCCGGATGTTCAATGATAGGCCTCATTGCTCCGGCGTTATTTTCCACTGAAATGTCGGAACTTGGAAAAGCATATCTAATGTGCAAATTAAGTTTATTGCTGCTCATTTCGTTGTTTATTCTTGGTGATGGAGGTCTCCATTATGCCGCAGACAGCCGGCCTGTCCGCTTCTCGCGCGGGGCGGCCACTGGTGGAGAGGAGGGAGGAGGTGGATAATTGGAGGCTTTATGGCTTTGAAAGGCCGTTGAAGGGATTGGCGAGTTGAGCGCGGCTTAAGGAGAAACCCAGCTTTATTGAGTGAACCCCGAGCGAGCGGCGGGGAAACCAGGGACACGATGGAATGCATCGGTTGGAGAGCGGCCAGGGCGCCCCGGGGTCTCTGTTCCTCCAGAGTGTTTCGTTCTGTGGCCTCGCTCTCTGCAGGGAGGCCCTCAGGCCCTGGAACGGGCAGGCGGTGTTGATGTCGGGATCACGGGTGAATGAGTTTTAAAGAAAAGGCAAATCTGTAGTGATTTTTTTTTCTGGTCAGGATGAAATTTCTTCGCCTCTGTGGTAGTGAACTAACGGCGAGTGGGTCAGTGTGGCCTGAATCTGCGATTTATTCGAGTGAAAAAAAGCAACAGGAGCCTCCCTAAGCACACCCAGGCGCCGTGCCCTTCGGTCTCCGTGTGCCGGGTCCGCAGCCTGCGGTCGGAGTGGTGGCGCGCCGGGCCGGGAGAGCCGCTGTGGGGCAGCTCGGGGACGCGGCCTGAGGGGCGGGCATCGTGCTCTGTGGGCGCGCGCCTTTTCATGGGCCAGGGCTTTTTTAACCAGATGAGACCCATGATCGGTCCAGATTTTGTTCTGTGGTTCTTTCATGAAAACTGGGGCAGGCTCCTCTGGGTTACGACGTGCCGTGGGTCCGTGGTGCCGTGAGTCCGTGGGCTGTGGGCGTGGGGACGGCCCCGGTGCCTGTGGGGGAGGCAGACGAGTCAGCTGCTCTGTGGGGGCTGGTCCCCCACTGTCCCCGTCGCCTCGGCCCCACACCCACCGGCACCTCACGCGTGTTCTCAAACTCTCCGAACGGCACCTAGAGGCAGGTAGCAGTTTCTCCCTCTTACTCAGGGGAGCCTGAGGCGGGGCGTGCACAAACGAGGCGCCTGAGGTTCGCGTGTCAGGGAGTCGCCGCACCTCGTCCTCCTCCTCATGTTCCGGTGAGTCTGTGCGGCGGTGGCGGCGCGCGCCTTCCGCGGCCACGTGGGGCCCAGGGAGCAGCGGGCAGTGGCTGCCGGCCCTGAGCTGCCCCCAGCCTGCGTCCCCGGGCAGAGAGCGCCGTTTGAGGGGCTCCACCCGTCATTCTGCAGCGTGCGTTTGTTGAGTTTTGGCAAATATTTACGCAGCATAACCCTGACTTGTCCCAAGGCGTGAGCCCGCCCTGGGTGTCAGCCCGAGGCCGGACGGCAGGCCCCGCTCTTGCTCGGCGTTCCCCCTCGTCCTGGAGGAATGCGTCTTCCTGTGCGTTTTTGGAGAAAAACTTGAAGAGATGCCACTTTTGAGATCGTTCATGTTGGAAACGCCTGTATTCTAAGCTTGAGATCGACGGTTCAGCTGGAAATGGAATTCCGGACTGAAAGTCATCACTTGCCAGAGCTCTGAGGCCCGCTCTGCCCGAGAGCTGAGACGTCCCGGCCCTGCTCTCCCCTGCGGGTCTCCCCTCCCGCCCTCAGCCCTGTTTGCTCAGCCCAGGACAGCGGCTCATTATCCCCAGCTCTGCTCTGCCTGCTCCGGGCGCGGCGTCTCCGCAGAAGCTCTAGGTCCTCGCTCCGAATGTCTGAATTATTTAGTCCATTCCTTCTGCTGAAATCCCTGTTATTTATTAGTCAGAATCCCTAAACCGCTACTCTACGTTAAGTGTGCACATGCGTGTGTGTGTACTTTTAAAATTTCACTTATTTAAAGCTGCTTAGCTGCAGCTCTACCGCGAGCGTGTGTCCGAGGTCTTGACACACACGTCCCTGGTCACACACACTGCATGCTTCTCTCGCCCAGGCCCCATTTCATGCTCTTTTTGCGCGACCTCCAGGGAGATGTCCTCAACTCTGTCTTCCAGATTTTCTACTGAGTTTTTATTTAACCATTTTTTTAAATTTTAAAGTGTCTGATTTTTAAGTGATTCTCATTGTGATTCTCCAG